CTGGTGCTTCTGGAGTCATACCCAAAGCGAGCCTAAGGGGCTACGCACTATTCGTAGAACTACAGTTACAATAGGTAACTAACAATTATTTCATTTCCCAGCATCTGATTGGTGAAAACATTATCTATCAATGTGGCAGAGTTTGTTGTTATTCTAGTTGGTTTTGTGATGAGAGGGAAGAAGTTGTTACTATACATCTCTGTAAGGAAGTCAGTTGTTTTTGTATTTTCAAGGGGGTTCAAGAGATTAATATTAAAATCACCACACACAACATGGAGTTTGTTTATCTTACTAAACAGATGGTCAATATTTTGGTTAAAAGTATCCAGACATGATCCAGGCGTTCTGTACACACAGCTAACATTAATCTTTTTATTCTTTATGAACTCAATTTCTACAGTTAAACATTCTAAGACTCCATCAATGGTGGTTGATTTACTATTAATCTTAATACATTTTAAATCTCTATTCACAAACAATGCTACCCCCCCTCCCTTTTTACCAATTCTATTTGTAGTAAATAATTTGTATCCTTCCAATTCAATTTCAGAACACTTATCATCATCTAGCCAAGTCTCTGAAACTGCAATGACACTGAAAATTTCGAACTGGTCCAAATATTCCTTAATATGATCATAATTCTTAAATAAACTTCGACTATTAAAATGTATTATGGTAAATGCGCCATCTGTATTCACACACTTAAATTGATCATCTGTATAATATTCACAATCACTAACTATATTATAGAGATGACTATCTGGATCTATGTCACTACCAAATTCATTCGTTCTATAGCCATTGTTGTTCTCCTGCATACAGAACTGGATACTATTTAGCGTTTTATACAGTTCACACCGGCCATTTCATGGTTTTCTTGATTTAATAATGTACTACTTGATTCACTTTCATTTGTCATCATGGTTTAAGTCAAATCTTTGTCCCTTTTTCTTCCCCTTTCCCTCTCTCTTGCGCACACACACACACACACACGACAATATCAGCAATAATAATACAAAAAAAAAACTTAAATATAGTATTCTTATTATACTTGTTATTGTCCTCAGTGCTAGACATCTATATGTCATAATTGTCCATGAAGAAGGAGAAATATATATATATATATATATATATATATATATATCGTCTCAAGAAAGAAATAATTTCAGCATGTCAAAAAAGACTCCTTGGCTCCTCAAAAAATATAACAAAAACAAAACAAAAACATTCCTAGCTGAGAAATACATTATTTGATTATTTGAATTTCTCAAGGTCTCCAACCAAGTTCTCTTACCAGTATAACTTTTGCAGTCTCCGGTGAAGATCCATTCAGTTGAATGAATACTTTGCAGTTTCTGGTCCACGTTGCTCTTATCTTGTTGTTTTTCTTCAGAAACCGTGCTTCACGTGCAATATCAGACGTCTTCTTGGTCAGGTGCTCATTTAGGTATACATTGGATCCTTTCAACTTTCTTCCTTGTCTCAGTAGCTCGGATTTGTGTTTCCTGTTAACAAAGCGCATAATGATTGCAGGCTTTGTTTTATCCCTGCGTGGCAGTGTATGACATGCAGAAATGTTGTTCGCATCCAAATGTATATCTTTTTCTCTTAGGAATTGCACAACTTGGTCCTCCAAAGTTTGCATATCTTCTCTTTCTGCGTTCTCGTCAACATTCCTCCCTGTCGCAGTTGCCCTCGCATACGAGCGCGGTTTGATGTCCAGACCCGAGATGATTAGGTCTTCCATCCTAGTGTACTGTTCCAGGTTCTCAACTCTCTTTTCGAGCTCTATTATGGTCTTATCTTTCTCTCGGATTGTCGCTTTCAGCTGCTTCACTTCCTCCACAAGCTCCGTTAGCTTCTCGAGTTGCCGGGTAACGCTAGCCAGGTCCCCAGACATGAAGTTTAGCGACTTACGAATCTCATCCATGTCGTTCTCCGTCGGTGGATTCTTCTTCGGAGGCATCGCCAATAGAATAGTTTATGCCTCTTTTATTTGCCTTGTAGAAAACGCACAATTGTCAAGAAAAGTTTGTTTGTATTTCACATCAACTTGTGGGCGCCGCCATGACAGTCTATCACATCAAAACTTTCATCCTCGACTCCCCTTTTGAAACAAGATTTTCCAAAATGATCCCGTTTTAAAAAGAACAAAGAAACGTCTCAGTTGGAATGAGAAAATAAAGCCACAGTTCTTGATATAAAACTAAACGGCTTCGTCCAGTAGGAGAAAATAGTTTTGACACAGACAGAATGTGTCAGATCAAGACAAAAACACTTGATTCAAGCATTTACCTCATATTTATTTTATTTTTACGTGTCAAAAAAACAAAGAAAGGTTTGAGTTTAGAGCTAGTTTCTCTCTGATTCTTCAAACAATGAATCTAGTGGTTTTTTATCTTAATTCAAGTTCATTACGACTGTGTTAAAGCAACATTTACCGATGGAAAAAAATACCATTTCGTACAAAACAATTTTTTGGCTTGAATTCAGTTTTAAGAAAAAAAATACTTCATAATCTTATTAGAGAAAAAGTCTGCTTTGTTTTAAGAAGTTTTTCTTGTTTCCAGACATTTTTTCTTGTTTAGATAAAATATGTGAGTATGTATGTAAGAAAAAAATGTCTCAAAAAGTCAATAATACTTGAAATGTATGTTTTAAACTAGAATCAAGTCGTTTGGGGCTAGTATTATTTTCAGAAATCTTGTCAAATAATTTTTCTTGTTCTATTGGCAGATATTTTTACTTATTTTCACATTTTTTTGTTATTATAAGTGTTTTTTTTTCCAGTGTAAAATGTATGATTCATTATTATTATTATTCTGAGTGGATGTAAATCTTCTGAAATAGGAGCAATAACACTCTCCTTCCAAAGGCTAATTACTTGATATGAGAAAGATTGTTGCCAGATATCGGATTTCTTATCTTTATCTGACCGCGCGTTCCCAGATACTTCCTCTGCGGCGAAGGCAAAGATCTCTCGAGTCTCCCCAGAGCCAGAGATCAAGAGTTCACCAAATCAGTTCTTATTTGAAACGCAAACCCATAAGTACGAGCTCTAATGTTTGTCTAATTCACTCTCGCAGCCTGCGGATCGCTCCGTGTGTTGCTCCAGGTGCCGCGGGGAGAGGAGGCTGCAGCGAGTGTCCGAACGCGTGGGCGCCAGATCTGTCTCCGAGCTGCGAGCGAAGAAAAGGCCACGGGCTCCAAACAAAAGGTCATTAAAAAGAGAATATTCACCGTCTCCGCGGCGAGCGACAGGCGAGACGGTGTGCTCCACGGCCCGGAGTTTGCGGAGAGAGAAAAGTTGAGGAATAAATGCCCAGAAAGAAAAACTAAATGTGATCTTTAATTAGAAGGGGAAGGTTTGTGGCAACTGCTGAAACACTAGACATTCATTTACATATTTACATAGATCTACACTGCAAAAATAAGTCAAAACTTGCTCAAATTTGGCAAAATGTATCTGAATTTGAGCACATTCTGACTGCCTTAAAACAAGATTTACCAAAAGGACAAAGCAAAAGGATCTTGTTTTAAAAATACACAAGAAATGTCTCTCTTGGAATGAGAAAATAAGCAACAGTTCTTGAAATAAGACTAAATGGCTTTGTCCCGTTGAGAATGTACTTACGTATATATTTCATAATTTTTTGCAGTGTATAGTGTAAGTGGTGCGACCAAGGGGAGCGAGGGGCAATAGGTGGCATGAGGACTGAGGGGAGAGCAATGGCCGCGCTCGTGTATGCGGATAAAAATACTCACACACGCATGAATTCCACTAAAAAACAATTTGTACATAAATGACAAGAGAAAATGACTACACCAGGGTCAAAAGTGAATATTGTAGAGTGTAATTTGCCACGTCTGCCACTAGAGGGCGGTGCTGAACATGCTAGTCCTACAGCAGCGTCTAAGGACAGTGATGCGGGATATTTAAGGACATTTATGGACCAATGGCTCCTATATGTGTTTGTTATTGCTGCATTTCTGTCTGATTGATTCTCTGATCTGTTGTAGTGAATCGACAACTGTGTAAACACCTCCGAGACGACGGCTGTTGTGATTCAGGGCTAAACAAAAATGCTTTTAATTGAATGGAAAGTCCTTCACTTGCCAGGACTCTGTATATACATTATTTTTTACTTAAGCTCAAGGAATTATTTCACATTCAGAAACAAAGTAAATATTCTCAAGATCACATTTAAAGCTGGGGTACCTAACTTATTCAAACCACAAAAAATAATCATGTGACTCAAAACTGTTTGTTCTGTCCCTGTTTTTTCAGATGAATGTGTTTCAAATGATTGTGATTGACTGAGAGAGGGGACCACCCTCTCTCAGCCAATCAGCTCTCAGTATGTGAAAGCCAAAAGGATTTCCAATAAGATAAAGACACAAGCGGTGGCCAGATGTGTTCACTAAATGTTAGACTTATTCGATAGGGACAAATCTAAAATGTGAGCTACTCCAGCTTTAAGGGTCACCGTGAGCTCTGATTGGCTATAGCTCAAATCAAATCATCTTGGTTCCTGCAGGCCGTGATTAGGAAAATGCAATTTACATTTGATGGCGACTGACCTTGAAGCCTCTAAAATGAAAGGTTGTGAAAAACTGATTAAAGCACAGGTCTTTTCTTGGAGCGACAGAACCTTTGGCGAGTACAAAGTAGAAGAATAACTGATGTGTCAAAATATACAGGATTTACGTGCTTTTAAAAGTATTCAGACATTTAATAAACGTAAATAGGCTAATACTAAATATACTGTACATTCATCTTAACCATGTTTTAATGCCACAGTTAGTGATTCATGTGTGTTAAATGTAAGAAATAGATATACAGCAGACAGTGAGGTTTTGTGTTTGTGTGTGTGTGTGTGTGTGTGTGTGTGTCTGTGTGTCTGTGTGTCTGTGTGTGTGTGTGTGTGTGTGTGTGTGTGTGTGTCTGTGTGTCTGTGTGTCTGTGTGTCTGTGTGTGTGTGTGTGTGTGCGAGTCTTACGTCTCCTCCGCTGTCCTTCAGACCCACGATGTTGGGGTGCTGTGCCAGGCTGAGCACGGCCTCTAGGGGGAGCTCCAGGCCAGTGTTCGCCGGGACACTGTACAGGACCACAGGGACCGGACTCTGGTCAGCCACCTGCAGAGACATATGACGAAGTGAGACATGAAAGGAAAGAGGAGGAGGAGGAGAAAGGAGGAGGAGACGGGAGGAGGAAGAGACAGGAGAAGAGAGGATGAAAAGAGAGAAGTAAGAGACAGGAGGAGGAGAAGAGAAGACAGAGGGGAGGGAGAGGAAGAGAGGAGGAAGAGAGAGAGGAGGAGAGAGAAGGAGGAGAGAGGAAAAGCAGGCAAGACAAGAGGATGAGGTGAAAGAGAGGAGGAGAAGGGAGGAGAGGAGAAGAGAGGACAAGAGAGGGGGAGGATCAGAGAGAGGAGAGAGAGATGAGAGCGAAAGAAGAAAGGAGAGAGGAGGACAGAGAGAAGGAGAGAGGAGGCGACAACTGCTCCTACCACTGTACTTTTATTAATTGTATTCAATATTTCAACACATAATAAACAAAGTCAGTTATAAAATGCAGGTATAAGAACATTTTCAAAAGTCTTTCTGCTGCTGAGAATAAACCTGTCGCTAAAACATCTCTGTACGAAGCGTTTACAGAACCACCAGAATAACAGAGAGTCACATGACCTGACCTGGGTGAAGTGCTGGACCAGAGCAGCGTTGTCCATTTTTCCTTTGTAGAAACACGGGGTGACGACCAGGACACAGTCTGCTCCAGCGGACGCCATTCTCTCCGTCAGACGCACTGTGGCCCTGGTCGCTACGACAACACAAAAGAAGAAGAAGAAGATACAACAGACGAGGTTATGCCATGACGGGATGAGAGGGAGAGGAGGACAAGTGTGATTATATTTATACAGTATGCGTCTCTTACTAAAACAGGATATAAACAATTATTTGAATTTTGATACTTACTTGAACACACGCAGGAGCAAACACTTTTTAATATTGAGGATCAATTTTGGAACCTGCACACCTCACATTTGTTTATTCATTTATTTAAATTGTGGACATAACAATATTACAATTGCATTTCAAATAATTGACGTCGAAAATCTTAGCCCCTTTCTTCAAACATGTATAAATTAAATTTAAAAAATAAGATGGCCGCCTTCAGCACTTCTTCAATTCAAACTGTTTTTATTTTATGTTTTTTATTTGTTTTCAGAATTCTTTGTTTTTTTTATTAGTTATTTTCTCTTTTTTTTCCTAATCATTCATTTCATATGATTTCACTGTTGTCGGTTTGATTTTTTTGGGTCTCCCTCCCTGTGGGTTTCCCTAGTGCTCCTCCAAGGTTTCTCACTTTTTCCCACTGGGTTTTTTAAGAGTTTTTCCTTGTCGATGCAGGAGGGTCTTGTTGGACAGTTAGTGTCCAACAGAAAGGATTGGTGATGATCAGGACACTTTAGCATTCTACAACATGTATGGACATTTTCTTCTGTGTGTGCTTTATATTCTTCATGTGTTTTAACTGTTGATTCTCTGACCTGTGTTGGTGATTTCAATGGTTTTGTTAAGTCCTCTGAGATGACTTCTGTTGTGACCTAGGGCTATACAAGCTAACCTAATAGAAGCATCACTACCAAATTTCAAATTTGAATCTGAAATACGGGGAAACAAAAAAGGAGGAGGCTTAGCTGCCATTTTCAGAGACCACTTTGTCTCCCATAGAATGTCTCTTGGGAAGTTTCCGTCTTTTGAATATGTGTCTTTTAAAATACAACAAAAACAATCTAGTCCAATACTCTTCATAGTCCTATACAAGCCACCGCAGTCATGTCACAGATTTATTGATAATTTTACGGAGTTTCTTTCAGTTTTATGCACAGATTTTGATAGCTTAGTTATTACAGGGGATTTTAATATTCATGTGGATAATGTTATTGACAGAAAGGCAAAAGAGCTGAGTTCTGTTCTTGAATCTTTTGGTCTCACTCAGCATGTGAGTGGCCCCACCCACAGCAGAGGGCACACTCTAGACCTGTTAGTTACTAAGGGGGTGAATATTTCAAATGTAAACGTGGTCGATGTTGCGCTTTCGGATCATTTTTGTGTATTTTTTGACATGTGTTTCACTAACAAACCACCAGTGGACTCTGCAACTGTACGAAGAAGACACATAAATGAAAATACGGGTCAACTATTTATGGGAATGATAAACTTTGAGAATGCATCGTATTCTACTGTAGATGAACTGTTTAACTCTGTCACCTCTAGTGTTTTGAATGTTCTGGACACCATCGCTCCTGTGAAGGTTAAAACAGTGAAAAATAAGCAGAAGGCGCCGTGGGCTAAAGCAGACTCGGTCAGGGCACAAAAGAGAGAGTGCCGGAGGGCCGAGCGGAAGTGGCGCAAGTCCAACCTCCAGGTTGACTACGAGATCTTCAAAGATAAGTTGTGCGAGTTTAACCAGGTGCTACGTAGTACGAGAGAAAGGTATTTTTCTGAAATGATTGAAGGCTGCAGCAACAATCTGCGTGTTCTGTTTTCAACAGTTAATAGATTAACAAACCCCCCTGTTCAAATGCCATTAGAGCTAACTTCCAAACGTAAATGTAATGAGTTTGCACATTTTTTCAATGACAAGGTTCAAGGCATCAAAAACGCCATTGTCTCCAATCCACAGATAACCATCCAACAGCCTAAAAGGCTCTTTGAGCTAACTTACTTTGCACCTGTAAATGATAAAACTGTCCAAGAGATAATCTCCAGTCTGAGCGCCTCCACATGTAGCCTGGATGTACTACCCACTAGATTTCTAAAGTCTGTTCTGAGCAGTCTGTTACCTTCACTCACACAGATAGTAAACATGTCCCTTCATTCTGGAATATTCCCAAAGGCCCTGAAAACTGCAGTCATCAGGCCCCTGCTTAAAAAGAGCAGTCTAGATGCTACGGTACTTAACAACTACCGTCCCATCTCAAATCTGCCATTTATGGGGAAAGTCCTTGAAAAAGTTGTCTACCAACAGCTAAATAGATTTCTTATAATCAACAACTCATTTGATATGTTTCAGTCCGGCTTTAGACCCCACCACAGCACTGAGACTGCTCTCGTCAAGGTTACAAACGATATCCGGCTAAACACTGACGCAGGCAAAGTCTCAATCCTAATCCTGTTAGATCTGAGTGCTGCCTTTGACACTGTCGACCATGAGATCCTCTTACAGAGACTAGAGGACTGGGTTGGCGTCGCTGGCACCGCCCTAAGTTGGTTTAGGTCTTACCTTGAAGACAGGAAGTACTTTGTGGAGATTGGAAACTGTGTCTCAGATCATATGGCCCTGACCTGTGGAGTACCACAGGGGTCGATCCTGGGACCTCTTCTTTTCAATCTCTACATGCTGCCGTTAGGTCAGTTAATACGCAGAAACGAAGTTTCCTATCATAACTATGCAGACGACACTCAGATCTATGTCTCACTGACTGCAGGAGAACATGGACCAGTGGACTCACTCCTTCACTGTATCCAACAGATCAGTGAGTGGATGCAAAACAACTTCCTTCAGCTAAACGCAGACAAAACTGAAATGATTGTCTTTGGTCCCCAGAAACAAAGAGAGAGCGTCATCTGTCATCTACAGTCTCTCTCCCTAAAACCTTCAAACAAGGTCAGAAATCTAGGGGTAATACTGGACTCAGACTTAAATTTTAATAGCCACATCAAATCAGTAACATCAGCAGCTTTTTACCATCTAAAAAACATTTCCAGGATCAAAAACATAGTGTCTAAAGCAGACTTGGAGATTCTTATCCATGCATTTGTCTCCAGTAGGTTAGACTACTGCAATGGCCTGCTCACAGGTCTGTCCAAACAGGCTGTAAAACAGCTGCAGTACAGTCAAAATGCAGCAGCTCGAGTCCTGACAAGAACCAGGAAGTACGACCATATTAGTCCGGTCCTCAGGTCTCTGCACTGGCTTCCTGTGGCTCAGAGAATAGACTTTAAAACAGCTTTGCTTGTGTACAAGTCTCTCCATGGCCTCGCACCAAAATATATTAGTGACATGTTAGTCCTATATGAACCAGCCCGGACTCTGAGGAGCACAGGGACTGGACTCCTGTTAGTGCCCAGAGTCAGAACTAAACATGGGGAGGCTGCTTTTCAGATTCATGCTGCTAAAATCTGGAACATTCTTCCTGAAGATGTGAGACAGGCCTCCTCTCTGACTATGTTTAAAACCAAGTTAAAAACTGTGCTGTTTAGCTGTGCATACAACTGAGGGATTTTATATTTTTATCTTTCTTTTTAATGTTCTGTGATTATTTATGATTTTAATGCTATCTTGTTCAGCACTTTGAGTTGCCTTGTGTATGAATTGTGCTATACAAATAAACATGCCTTGCCTTGCCTTGCCTACAAGAATAAATTGTATTGTATTGTATTGTATTTCTTAAACATTTGGATATTTTTTATTTCAGAGTCGAGTTGATTCCATAATTTTACTCCGACCACTGATGTTCCTTATACATATCTGTACGTATCAATGTGAAGGACAAATAATAAGTACATGGTTAGAAAAGTGGTTGGATAAAGCAGATTCCCACCCCCATCATGAATATTTAAAGTAGCAATATGTAAGATTTTCATGTCAAGTCATCCTTAAATGGCCCTAATCTGTCAAAACAAAGGCATTAATAAAACATGCTCTATTCAAAGAGTTCAACCGAGATATTTGAATTTCAAAATTAGTTGTACAGCCCGTAAATCTTGTAATTGTTTTCAGATTCAGATTCATTTATTTGCCATTTTCAGTAAACCCACAGTGGAATACATTATTAAAAGTCCCCAGTGTGAAGGTGCTGTGTTCAAAGTGATAACAGCTCGTGGGAAGAAGCTGTTAGCATGTTAGCATATCGAGATGTCCTGCGAATCCCGATGTCCCGCCCTCCACCGTTTCACCAATCAGAAAGTCTGTGACCCGGGTTGCCAGAACTCACCACGTCAAGCTAATGTCACTGGTAAAGTAACATATGGCCGCCGCAGAACTAAAAAAGGTTTTGGTTATGATTCTCAAATAATTAATGACTAAACAAAGAATAAAACAGATTTTTATTGGGGCCTTTGTGAAAAAAAAAGTGTTGGTTATAGATTTGTTGTTGACAAAAATCCCAGCTGGATTCGTCTGCATATCTGGCAACCTGAGTCAGGGAGAGTGGGAGAAGCTGCAGTACCACTTTTGGCCAGATTTTTACATACTGCTCCTTTAAGCCAAACATATTGTAAAAGAAAGAGAAGTGAATATTGAGATAATGAAGTGATGTTTCTATATTTGGCCCAGCCCTATGATCTTTTAACATATATTTAGTCTCAAACACTGTGTATTCTTGAGTAAACGTGAGCAATTGTGCCTGGACTCACATTCACATCCGGATCCCGCCATCAGGAGTCGCTCCGAGGGCAGGTTCCGTCTCACGGCTCTCACCACCTCCACTCTCTCCTCCTCCGACAGGAACGGATACTCTCCATTACTGCCCTGCACCACCAGACCTGCACACACACAACAGTTCTATAGCGGACAACTCCAAGATTAAAAGATAAGAGACGTTTATTTGTTCATACACAAGGAAACTTAACAGAACAAGATTATTCAAGGCATTAAAATCATGTAATAATAAAATATAATACATCACAGCACATTAAAAAGAGTAAAGATACAATCCTTCAGTTGTGTGCAAATCTAAATAACTATTTTAACCTGGATTTGTCACAGGTCAATACATTCAATCCTTCATTCTTTTTCTTCCTCTTTATTGGTTTCTGGGTCTTTCCCTGGACTCTTCCTGGTGGGACATGACCAGAACACCTTCCCAGGGAGACGTCCAGGAGGCATCCCAAACAGCTACTACAGTGCTGTACTTGGTTCTAAGTGAAAAATATGATAAGTTATACATTTTATAGTGCAGTGTCTATTCTAAGTAGAGTGTACATGCTATAATTGTGTTGTGTGCACCTCGTTCCTACTGTTCTGTAACTTGTGATGCAACACTGAAATTGACACTCCACTGTGGAAAAATAAATAAATAAAGAAGTAAAGAAAACTTAAAAAATATATATGAATAAAAACACTAACAGTGGGCAGCAACGGCGGAGGGAAGGTCTCACTTAGAGGTAGATCAAACTAGAAAATTGTGTCATGATCATGAGGTTCAACAAATATGCCGCATACACCACAGCACCCACACCCTTGGAGTCTCAATTTAGCATCGAATAATCTGTTTGTTTATAGTGTAAGTATCACCTTTGTCTATGTGTACGTTTGTCTGTTTTTATTATTATTATTGTTATATATTTGTATCCTTTCTTGTTTGTTTGTTCTTGTTGAATGTTGATTTATCTGTTTTGTTGTCTTTAATAAAGGTTAAAAAAAGAGAAAAAAACTCCACTGTGGAGCCAAGAAAATAATCTCAACATTGACGTCTCATCTGTACTAGTAATCAAGTACATCCCATTTCTAAAAGCATGTAACAATTCTATTCAGGCCTGTGTGCATGTGTTGAATATGTCTCACCAGTAGAAGGCGCCAAACACCGTCAAATGAATGGATAGTTGACAGCATACACTAGCCACATGTTATTAGCTTCTTTCAGACTCTTACATGTTCTGAATTAAGTTTCCCAGACCCCAAAACTACGCAATTTAAGTTTTTTTGCGTGTGTTTCTGCGTCACTGACCTCTGAAGGGAACTTTCGCGTATTTCTGCAGGTTCTCCTCCAGCTTGCCGTAGTCCACGTCCTCGCTGGCCGTGAAAGGAGTCGCTATGGGCGGATAGATCCCGCTCAGATCCGGGCTGGGGGTGGTGGTGGTTGTGGAAAAGGACCGGGATCTTCTACCCAGGGCGCACAGGGATCTCCACAGCCGGGGACAGAGCATGGCGAGGCGGGCACGGGTGCACACAGGCCTCGGTGTGAGTGTGTGGGAGCGCTGCAGCTGCTGGAGGGCAAAGACTGAACCAAAAAACCCGAGCTAAATATTCACCAATATTGTGATTTCAATGTGACAAAGTTCAACGTGACTGCAATAGACCAGTAGAAACCCAATAACCCCAAGTTTTTGGATCTAGCTTATTCCACAGACTGTGCAAAATACCCCACAAACTCCGCCTACTTTTTAATTACAAAATTGCAAGATGAGAAAAGTTGGGAAAGTAAGACAAGGCAAGTTTATTTGTGTTGCACAGTTCACACACAAGGCAATTCAAAGTGTTTAACATATAAATAATATGTATAATGAATATAATCATAAATAATTATAGTAAATAACTAAATAACAACAATAGAGAAAGTTTTTCCCACTGGGTCTTTTGAGGCCAGTGTTGATCCGGGACATTTATTAATATGTGTGGACATTGGTCATGTCACTTTGTTATTATGGCATTTCCTGTGTTTTATCTGTTTGATTCTCTGATCTGTTGTTGGTGAATCGACAACTTTGTAGAGTCCTCCCAGACGACTGCTGTTGAGATTGAAGGCTGTACACAAATTAATTGAATTGAATTGAGCTGAGAATTTTCCTACCCCTTATGATATACTTAGACTCCTGATTTACTTATTTATTTCTGTCACGTTACATGATTCTAAATACAAACTTCCCTTTTGGTTGTGTGCAGGTGTTTTGCCTATTTCTAAAAAACAACAATGGCACTAACAAATCTGGGATACATAACTTAAAAAAACAGCAATCTTTGGATCTGCTTTTGTTTTGTCTAGTTGAAAAGTGAAAAAGAGCGGACCACCCTCATTCAGTCACTCAGCTCTCTGCCAAAATCGTCTTTAAGTGAACTTTCTCACAAGTGTGTTTTCTTTACACGACGAAGACCACATTTTACGTTTACATTAATCTATGAAGCAAAAAGGTTATTCACTCCAAGTTTTTTTCTTTTCTTTTTCTAAGATGTAAGAGCACAAATTAATTAATGTTTTTCCCGTTTTTTTAACCCCTAGTATTCTTTTTTTAATTAAATACCCTTATCAAATGGTTGAGAGGCAGTTTGATGGTAAAAGTGCCTAAAACCAAGTGTTAGAGATGCCCCAAAGAAGTAGATTTCAGTTCGAAGCTTCAAGTTGATTTAATGATTCAACAAGTGATCCACCAAATGTTTGAGGAAACCAGTAAAGGGTTAATATGGACAAAATGAGAGGCAAAAAGCAGGTGCATGTTTGAGCATCTGTGTGAGTGAATACTGCCCCCTGCTGGAGGTTTAATGCTGTATAAATCAACAATCATATACACGCACAACAAGTATTCTATTAATGGTTGGACATTTTGGACAATCATTGGACTCTGTTTTGTGTTTTAAAACGAACTTTGCTTTTAGTAATTATATTGTCTGGTCCTTCCCATAGACTGTATATATTAATTTCCTCAGCATTTCCACTCTTTACCATTGACCTTTTCTGTAGGTGCAGGTCAGAAGCAGTGAAGTAAAAGCCTGTGAGCCCTTTTTTATGTGTATTTATCAAGGTGCTGGTTCTGGACTGGTCCTGGTTCAGCTTGGTTTTTCCACCAGCAAAGAGCGAGTGCTGGTTACCATAGCAACACACCGTTTACTGTTAGCAGTTAGCATGTAGCCTTTAGCATTATTACGTTTTTGTTATATTAACCAGTTAGAAATATCCCCACTGTGGATTGAATAGGGTTCTCTTAGTTTATCTTATCTTTTAGCACCTTTTACAAGTGATTGAATGTAAATAGTAATAATAAATAAATAAATAAACGTACTTTAAATGCAATTGGTGAATGACTAACTACATATTTCTGGGGCCAATTTCTCTCCAAGTTCCATTGGTTTGAAAGAGAGCGGTCATAATGTTGGTTCTGGTAGATTCATAGTGTTGATGGACAAAATGAACATAAATAATGCATCATGCTATTACCTGATACAATACATCTCTCCTTTTGGCTAATGTTGTCTTTTCTTTCAAATTATTAAATATTCATTGAACAGTACAATAAAACCAAAATCATATACACAATTCGAAGATGAGTAGGTAGAAGTAAAGCTTGTTATCTACCCCTTTTTACATTGTCTTGTTTCTTTTACAAATGATTCTATTCAATTTACTGTCAGAACTTACATAATAATCAGTTATTTATTTGCAAGTGACAGTCATTGCCATAAATCGTGATATAATAGAGCTTCAGTAAACACCAGTGATGTTCTAGGATCCTTGTCATGACCTTCAACATTGTTTATCGTTCACTGTGATACCTAAATGTGGGAGTGTGTTTTGAGTGTGTTTCTTGCTCGTACACAGAGGACACACTCAGTCTCAGGCAGATGCAGCTCCATATGTTCTTAAACCTTCTGTAATTTACACGTGAGTCCTGAGCTCATCCCATTAGCACCAACACGTCACCGCCAGAGAGAGTGGAAAAGGCTTTATTATAAAACCAACACAGTCACGTCAGCAGAATCTACACACAAAGAAATAAGGAACACAAAGAAATACAAATAATGATCATTCAAAAGTGTAATTAAGAACAAAAAAGTAAAATTAGCTCTGAATCTTGGAGAAGTTTGACTTTTTTGACGGTTCCCAAAGATACCAGGAAGTTACCACCACCACTATGTGAAACTATAGGCTCTTTGGAAGGTTGTGATGTCACACGAACACAACGTAATGCTGTATGTTGTACGCATTCTATATCATACAAACGTTGGAGATCACAGTTGAATCTGGCTCCAAACAAAGAGGAGGTATATTTTACATCTATCCTGTCTTTGATTTTGAACTCAGAGCCTTCTGTGGATCAAGCTAGAGGTAAAATCAAATCAAATCAATTGTATGAATTTCTATACAACTTTTTGAATGACAATTTGAGAACAAGCAACTAAAATACCCTTCAAGAAAGTAAGTCAGCTACATATGATCGTCATCTCCATAAAAAAAACTTTGAATTTTGTTTGCATGTATAAAAAACAAGGTGGGGTGATGGGATGGCCTGAATCCGGTCTCCCTCGGCCCGGACTCAAGAGGCTGCACCACTCTCCTGGCCTCGGGAGTATCTTCAGTCCTGCACCGCACAGTCCTCGTTCTACAGTCTGAGTCTTGGATCTACAGACTGTCAGTCCGTCCGTGGGAGTGGATCCCTTTCTCATTTTTTTCCCTCACTGATGCAGGAGCTAAGGATAGTGATGAGCCGAACATTTTATTAACATTAATGGACATTGGTCTCCCCTCTCCCTCTGGACCAATGGCTCCTATGTGTTTGTTATCATGGTTGTTTGATTCTCTGAACCTTTGTTGAGGAATTGGCAGAGACTTGCTGCTGTAGGGGTAGTACCAGTCCACTCGGGTCTAATTTACTGATCAAAATCCCTGTTAAAAAATCCAAATATCTATGATTTGAACTTTGAAGACAGAATAGAGCCTAACCAGCTTTTTCAGAGGCCTAAAAATTGCCTGTAAGAAATAGCGACACAACCAATGGATTTTATGACATAGTTCAGTTGTTTTAAAGTGTCTTCATATGAGGCCACAGCTGTGCTCTCCCATCAGACAGTTCATCCTCTTCCACCACGACTCGCTCAGGCTCTTCATCTTCTCCGGAGTCTTCCTCTTGAGAGTCAGTCTGAGTGTCTCTCCCCTCTTTCTCCTCCCCTCCTCCTCCTCCCCATCCTCCTCCTCCCCCTCATCCCTCTCCCCCAGCGAGGCCAGAATCGCTGCGTCGAACGTGTCTTTGAGGTCCTTCTGCGTGAGGGCCGAACACTCCCAGAAACCGGCGGCCCCCAGCTCCAGGGCCAGCCTCCTGCCCTCCTCCATGCCCACGGGACGCTGCTGGTTCTGGGCCAGCTGGATGAGGACTTGGACGTCTTCGCGGAGGTCCACCTGGGTCCCCACCAGCAGCAGGGGGGCGTGGGGCCGCTGGAGCCGGATCTCGGGGAGCCAGCGCTGGGTGAGGTTGTGGAAGGAGCCGGGCCGGACCACGCTGTAGCAGAGGAGGAAGACGTCGGCGTTCTGGTAGCACAGAGGACGAAGACGCTCCAGCTCGTCCTGAGGAAGAGAGGAAGGATGTGGGTTCGAGCAGTAGTCCCCAACCTTTTGGAGTCGTTTTCTCAATTAAAACAAGCACATGGCAAACCACCGAAACTGATACAAACTGATGTTACTCTGCAGCCTTTTTTAACAAAACAAAGTAATTATCATCAAAGTGAATTATATAGAAAATCATGGAAGTGCAAAGTTTTTATTATGGCAAAGTGTAGGTGATATTGGATCATTTCTCAAGGCACACCGAAAATCATCTCAAGGCACATTAATGTTCCATGGTACACTGGTTGAAAAACACTGGGTTAGATGATTTTTGATTTTTGGACTGAGGAGCACAGGGACTGGCCTCCTGCTGGGACTCTGAGGAGCACAGGGACTGGTCTCCTGCTGGTCCCAGAGTAAGGACTAAACATGGGGAGGCAGCGTTTCAGATTCATGCAGCTACAATATGGAACAGTCTTCCTGATAACCTTTTTTTTTCTTTTAGTTATTGTTGCCCTGATGGAGAGTTTCAATAAAAGGTCCATATAAAACAAAAACAAACAGACAAAAAAAAGACAGACATCACACATTCTAATAAATAGGTGATAGGATTAGGTATGACTCTAAAAGAAGATAGATTACATTAATAACATGTTTAATGATGAAGTGGACTCACATTGATGTCTCCGTCCTCCAGTCCCCACCTCTGCAACAGCCAAACAGAGAGGACATAAAGACAGGTTCATATAAATATAAATATAATGAAACTGGACTCATTCACTGTGTTGTGTTCTCACCTGCCCCGCTGTGTCACAGAGCTGCAGCCGCACTGGTCTCCCATCCACCACCACCACCACTGCAACACAACACAACTTATACAGATACAGATTTTTGTAAACGAGATAAAAATTATTAGAAAAAGGCTTTTGTCACAAATAAACAGTTCATAAAAAGTGAATAATTAATTTTTGCATCTAAACAAAAAACAAAACAAATATATTTCTATAATTTATGTGTAATAGAAAAAAAACACATGAATATAAATATACATGATACATGTAATTACTTATGAATAATAAATCACGTGTTTTATTATTAAAGTTTACGATGGGTTCTAATAAAAGAATGGTACATACTCAACTGTAGCATGCGCATACAAACTATTGTACCTACAAAGTCTGTACATCCAGTGCATCAAGGAAACACAAATACTAAAACAAGTTTGGGTAACATTGGTAAAACCGTCAAATACCAGTAAGTTTGTAAACCTTTCACAGACCAGAGTCATAAAGCGCTTTACAATTGGAATTTATCTCTCACTCCACAGAGATGGGAGCGAGGTCGACAAACGGGAGGCACATTACCGTACATGTTTCTAGGGGAAACCGGAGCACCCGGAGGAACCTGCTCTGGGAGTTCTGAAGTGTCAAACGAACTTACCTGTGAAGTTGTCGAAGGCGGTGGGCACGTACTCGGTGGGGTACCCGTTGGTGGTGTAGCTCACGACGAGGCTGGTCTTCCCCACGGCGCCGTCCCCGACCAGGACGCAGCTCACCGCGCGCTCCGCCGCGGATCCGGAGCGCGCAGAGATCTCGTTGTCTGACACCGAGCCGCGCGCCTTCAGCAGAGACGCACCGTATCCCGGGCCAAACACCGGCTCCGAGACGCACCTGGGCCTGTATCTACCCGCGTTTTGAGGTGACATGCTTTTTACCAGAACCAGACAATAAATAAAGAAGATATAGTTTCTCTGAATGTTCAAGGCGTCAGTGCGTAATCCGGTTCCATGTCGCTCCGTGCGCTCTTTACGCACGGTCGTGTGTTGGTAAACAGAAGGGACGCCGCTCTTGTTGTCGTTCGTGATTTTAGTGACGCATTTAAAGCCCAGTAATAGGATTAGAGGACAGCAGGAGAAGTCAGAAAGTCTCCCACCCTATACTCTGGCATCCAGCGACACACAGGAAATGAGACTTAGAGCAGCTTCTGAAGTGATGATAAAATACACTGTTGATGTCCAGTTTATGGAAGAGTTTGAATGTATACTTGCTCAAATCCAGACTCTTAAACTAATCACTGACTCTTCTGGCTCTTGGGAAAAAGCCATGTTCCAGCTTCTTCCCTTCTTCCCTTTGGCAGAAGATATCGTTCACTAAGATGCAGAACATCTGGATATTCGATTCCTTTCAATTATTTATTGTCAGTTTCTGAGGAATTCACCAAGAACAGATGAGAGAATCGAACTGTTCCAATGAAAATGCAATAACAACCGAGGACTGATTCTCTGATCTGTTGTTGGTGAATGGACAAACTAAAGTCCTCCCAGATGACTGATGTTGTGATTTAGGGGTATACAAAATTTAATGGAATTCAATAATCTGTATTGTGGTGAGAAAAGTATAACAGTCAGAAGCAATTACAGAGCCTGACGCTGTGATAGACGCAGCAGTTTGTGAAGGACCCACGTGGATATTTTACGTCAAAATATGAGAATATCTTATATATATATATATATATATATATAGTAATATATATATATATATATATATATATATATATATATATATATATATATCTTATTCCTGTCATAGGGGCTAAAATCTCCAATGATGAGTGAGCAGTGAAGGCCATAGATGTGTTGTAATCTATGTATAGTTCATGGTTATAACGGTGAGGGCGGATGTAAAGCTCTCTGGCGCCCTCTACTGTATCCTAACAGTACAGAACTAATAGATTCTGGTACAGAACAAGAACCATCTGAAAGAGTCCTTATTTGACACGTCAGGCCCTGTAGTACTGACAATGTGTCCTCGGGAAACCAGCATTGAGAGTTGATTTATTTGTTTGAGTGTCTGTTTAATTGGGTTATAGTTATTCTTTTGAAAGACAAGTTTAGATGTATTACCGGCATAACAAGGTAATACATCTAAATTTGTCATTCAAAAGAACCAAAAAAGCAACTTATCTCAAGACAAAATGAACCTTTTTGAATCATGGGTTATAGTCATGTTTGTAGATATGGTCTTTATTAGTGTCATTGCTGCATGTTATGAATGGAACACAAGCATAAATGGTGGTTAGACTTTTGGACTTTCGAGTCAGGGATGTCTGTGCAGCTCTGGAAGCAGCAGTCCTAATAACATCACCGTTTAAAAAGACCATACTGCAGAAACCAGTGTTTGGTGGTTTCACATCTCCACAGTTTAAGTATTTTTTCCCCAAAGTGAACGAGAAATGGGCCAAACAAATGGGACGATAGGAAATGGGAAAGCAGCAACTAAGTGCACACTGGTCTCATAAGTCACTGTGGATTTTTGTATTTGCTTCAGAAGTGAAAAGAGTCCAGTGACTACTTTACTCAGCTCAGATTTGGACTTTAATGTATGTATCCCACCAGGGGCAATTCCTTTGAGCAGCTCAATGCATAACATGAACTCTAGTTGCAGTAAACTTGTTATATGTACTTTAACTGTGGCTTTTGTCCAGTAATATTTGGACAAACAGTATTTTCTGATTCTGCACGATTATAGAAACAGTGGCTTTTATAATGAGGCATCTTTCTCCGCCTCTGAAGCCTCCGTGATCAAGAGTTTCTCGGCTTTAGCTTCAATCATAGCCGCCACATTTACTCACAGAGAAAAGAACGACACAGAACACATCTTTTAAACCCATCTCCCAGAGGAATATATTCTTTATTCTCAATGATAAAAAGATGATTGGTTACATGAAGGAGCACAGTGAAGTGAGCACGATCAAAGTGAGGCCAGAGAACCCTCATTCATGTTTATACTTTAGTTGTAAACTCACAGAAACTAGATCCAAAATGGCCACCGCGGGTCAAACCTGGCTCACATTCACCCGAACATCAGGGAACATTGTTATAATCAATCTCTTTCCTATATTACAAGCTTTGTACAACATAAAAATAGATCAATAACTATGATTACCATAACTATACAATAATTATTATTGCATTTTCAAATAGACGTGCTAATCTTTTTTTATCATCTTATTCCCCCACAAAACAAAATAAAAAAGGTACCTATTGATACGTTTTAAGGCGTCACAACATTTCCACCCTGAATGGCATTTTTTAATAACATCTATCGTTTTAAAATAAGCTTATGGTTCGTAAGAAAATACAGAATCCACGTTTTCTCTGGCACTTTAGTGTTTTCCTGTTTTTTGGCCATAGACGGCAACAGCAGAGGAGGGTGCAGTCGGAGTGTGGATGTTTTAGGTCATTTTTTATAAAAGGTTTTGAAAGTAGTAAATTCAGTTTTGAGATGTGAAGCCCCGGCCACCCCCAGAAGCCCCGGCCACCTCCAGAAGCCCCGGCCACAGACCAAGCTTCAGTCTAGTTTAGGAAGGTAAATTTGTCTTCTTGGTAGAGTGAGGTTATTTTGGTCTTCTATACTAGCGATAGCAATGTAACTACCTTTAATGCTAACTTGCGATTGTCTGGTATAGAAGAACCAAACGACCTTAAGCTTCAGTCTACTTTAAATACAGTGATCATCCATGACACCTGTGGCTCATTAACATATATTTTAGTACATTTGAAATCTAGATTTTGAGCTAAAATATTATAAAAGAGTCTGAGAACTTCTGTATTTCAGTTTCCGCTAACGCTGAGTGTGTAAGAGCAAACGAGTGTCTAATCAAAATCTGTGAAAAGTCAATTGTACATAAAATCTGTTTCTAAAATCTTACTGCTATGTTTTGAACACATTTGAATTTCCAGTTTTCATTTCAAGATTTTTGGGCTGAAAACAAGCGCACAGTGGATAGAAGTGGCCACAGATAGCTGGTAACAAAAAGGGGAGAATGAATGGGGATTTTAGTTCTGGAGCCATTAGTGATAAAAAGGTCTATTCTGAGGTTTTTGTTACGAGAAAGGATTAAGACCATTTCAAACAGGAATGTGTTTAACAAGAGCTGTAACACTTAAAGCTGAGGTACCCAACTTTCAAACCACAAAGAAAAATCAGCGGTAATAGAACCAGACGAGGAGCAAAAGTGAAGGGTTTTATCGCTAGTTCCATGTGCTTTGGGCCTCGGTCACATCTTTAAATCAGATTTTCAGACAAAAAAAGTGACCAAAAAAATGAGGATCATCTTCAGTTTTCAAAGCCCAAAGTGTCAAATAGTGACTCGCAGGGCTCTTTCTTACAAGTACGCAACAGGTTTTAGTACGCAAAAGGTTTTCTAATATGGAGTCAGGTTGTTTTGGTCCCCGGCTTTAATTATTTTCCTGTATAGTATTTTAAATCATGCATTAGAGACACAGCCCAAAAACATTGATATTGTGTGAATGTTAAGCAGTTTTAAGACAGAGCAATTTTTTTGTCTAATTGTGGTAATAATATTGTGTCTATAGATTTATACTGTAAGTTAAGTTCCCTCTTCTGCCAGCTAATTCCAGGCAAATTCCAATTTCTTTTGCAAACTACGCATACTATACAAATTAGATTTTAGAATTCCTTTTCAAACTTTGATAATAAAAAAACCCTCTCCAACATTCCTTCCTCTGCTAGTGCCGGTCCATGTTTTTTTTTTGGTCTGCTAAACCCAGTGACTCTTCTTGCATAGCGAATACCCACCATAGATTCTTCTCTCTTTTGTACAATTTTAAACATATTTATTTTAGCCGTTATGACACAAACGAACAAAATCCCTTTACACTTTTGCCAAACATGTGCAGAAAAAAAAAGTGTTTTTATAGGATTTTCTCTCGTCTCTTCAAAAGACAATCCAGGTTGAGTGATGAATGGACAGAGGCATTTAAAGCACGTTTTGAAACAACAAGAGACCGAACATTACACACTTTTGAGAGATTTGAGAACCTGACACTGGATTCTGAATTATATTTAGCAATTTCTTACATCTATGTGATTAAAATGGCTGAAAGAGGACATTTTGGCTTCCTGCTACTATACAATGGTAACCTATAACACTCATGGCTCATCACAATATTGGAGCTAATACAAGGTTTTAAAAGAGAATCTGTATTTTGTCTCTCAGATGGGTCCTGCAGGCTCCGCTCAGACCGCAGATGAAGGTTCATTTGCTCGTCAGAGATTCTACAAGTTGATTCTGTTTAGACTTTTTCTATTAGCTTTTCTGCTAGCGTGCCGTCTCCCTCATAGTGATGCCACGTGATGTTTCTGTAAAGTGTCTAGTCAGCATTTTTTAAACTTAGAAATCAACTTGTAGAGTGTAGACGCAACTGAAATCAGCAATCTGTGGAAATCTTTTCTTTTCTAGCTGAAATGCCTGCACAAAACACCACCAAATCTCCTGCTTCGAAAATAGATAAAATCACTGGCTGTGTCGCAGTGGGGAGAAAGGCCAGGAGGGGGCAGTGTTGTGCAGCAGTAGCTAAAAACGACTAAAGTTGAGAGAAATGAATTAAAATATGGTCACAAGTTTTTGATTTTACCAGTTTAGTTGTCCATTTCTACCCTGGTAAAGCTTCAGTAAAGTAGTCTGAGGACATAGTGTTTGGTGTTCTACTCGATCACAACATTTACACTGAAATGTCTGCGTGGCAAGAGTCACTAAACAAACAAACAAACTAAACCAGCTCACACGTGGTCACATGACCATGTGTACAGACCAGCGAACAATGACTGAACCAATTAAACCATTAGGTGATTAACTGAATTCGCCCTGAACTCCAGCAGATTGATTTTGGCCCCAAAATTGGACTTGAATTAGGGTTAACTTTGTCAGGCCATGGTAGTTTTTTTTCCGTAAAAAGCGTTATAAGAGATAGAGGACGATTTAAATCAGAAATAAATGAAGTATATTTAAGAATAATATGTAAGACGTTTGTGTGAAGCCAGATTTCTGGGCTGTGGTGGTGGCAGGTTTTCATTCCAACCGAGCAGGAGCACAGCAGACTCCACCCATTTCCTCAAGTCTTCAGGTTTACTTGAGGGAAAGGTTTGGAATGAAAAACTGCCACATCTGTCCTTTGTGGTTCTCTTATCAGTTTGAGGGAATGGGTGGAGTCTGGTGTGCTCCTGCTTGGTTGGAATGAAAACCTGGAGCCACATCGGCCCTTTGTAGAACCAGTTTGACACCACTGCTGTATAGAAACTGCCCTGGTTTATGAGCTCATGTAGGAATTCTGCTATTTATTTTGATTTCTATATGAATATGGCTCTACAGAAATAATATTCCTATGTTTTAGTGGATCCTAGCTGTAAAAATGTGTTGTTTATGCAGTAATCATGCCTCTGTCCATACCTCAATATTTTTTGGATAATCCAGACAACATTGATAAAACCACTGAGATAAAGTTGGCTCTAGGAACTACTTTCAGTTTCATTGTAAAAGAATATTTTCAAAGACATTTTTCCCCCATAAAGGTGCGACTCCGGTCCATGCACAGTGACTCGGTTCTAGCATTGAAGCTGCCGTGCAACATGGCCCAGTGATGGAAGGGAAGGAACAACAAAATCTCACCAAACCCCGCACTTAAAATCACAAAATGGAAAAAAAAAGCAGAAGTCCCTTGGTCCAAAAGAGAAGTTCAGAGAGGCGTCCATGAAGACTTGGTCCAGAAAAGTAAAAAATCTAGTGTTTCTTAATGTTTTTTCGTATGTAGAAAGTATTCTGTGTGCAACTCGATAAGACTCCACCCGCCTTTGGCACATGATGAGAGGAAATGGAGCGCGCCCTCGCCTGGCAACGCTGGAATGGCCTTTTTTAAGACAAAATATAACACAAAAAAACTAAATGTGGCACTGCTCTCTTGGTCAGAGCGTCGAAATGCCACGGTGTAGTGTTAGGTGAGTGTGGATGTGTGTTATTGTGAGGTGTGTTAAATAAAAAAGGAATGCACTGGTTTTGTTGGTCCTGATATGATGCGTTCAAGTGCTGCTGCTTCCTCTGAGTGTGACGTCAGTTCACCTGGAGCCCACAGGGGGCGCAGGCGGGGCTCCTCTCATCTGAGCTACACACACACACACACAGAGAAAGAGGATGGTTACAAGTTATTTTTTGGTACAATCTTAATGTTCAACAGTATACGTTCGCTGAGATGCAGGACATTTCGACACGCTAACAGCTTCTTTCCACAAGCTGTTTTCTTCAACTTTTAAGCTGTTTTATTCATGTATGCACTTGTCTGGTGCATATACTTGTGTATATGTGGCTTTACTTACTGCAAATGGCAAATAATCTGAATATATTGAAATATCCATCCATCCATTTCTGAGTCAGGGGGGGTGGCAGTCAGAGCTGCACCCAGTACACTCAGCACCAGCCCCTCACTGATCCTCCTGCAGGTGGTGAGTCCACAGGAGCTGAGATCTTTCAGTGGGGGCTTCAGGCAAAGTGGGGTTAAGTGTCTTGCCCAAGGACACAACGACAGCAGACATCAGTGGGAGTCGTGAAGTAGATCTTATGGTGGCCTCGAACCCACGACCTTCAGGCCCAAAGGCGGATGCTCTACCATCACACACACTGGCGCACACACACACTTGCACGCACACTCACCCTTGTTGTGTTTGCTGGGATAGACCTTGTTGAAATGCCGGTACTCCTCTGGAGGCGGAAGGTCTTCGATCGGGTGGAAGTTGAACTTTGATTCAAAATCATCTGCAACAGAAGAATGTTGTGTTGAATGTTTGTTTGTTATCGTCTCATGCGTCAGTTTCAAATTGGACTCTAAGCGTGTAATAAATATCTCCCACTGTGCAGATTGGATGTGATGCAACAAGAAAACTGGAGAGATCTCCGCAGATGCAGATGTATTTGATCTGATTTTGTCCAAATTAAGGGTCTATTTTGAGTTATGACTGAAACAAACTAAACTAAACCAAAGTGTTTTGTTTAAGGACATAGAAGTGAGACAGTGTTACAACATGAGGCACAGCTGTTGTGCAGTTGGCTCATAAATGTTTGTGTTTCATTCAGTCGAATTGTTTTGACCAGAAGGACTAGACAAAATTATTTGATGAGCAAAAATTATAGATAATGATAAAGATATATCAAGATGCCAATAATCAATAGACCCCTAGTGTAAATACAAAACTGTTTAGACAACACTGGATAGGTCAATAATGTCTTCTCAAAATAACGAGCGCACTATCAAGCAGGGTCACTAGATGGAGTAACTAATTCAATTTACATTTTCTACAGACATTTGTGAAGTGTTTATATACTTTGACTCTGACCTAGAATGGACTTGGAGAGGTTTGAGTGGCTGGAGTGGGTCATGTGGGAGGTGTGGCCATTGCGTATGGGTGGAGGTGGAGGCGGTGGTCCGGCCGGAGTCCTGGAGTTCAGAGAGGAGCTGGAGGAGGAGGAGGGAGGAGGAGGAGGTTTCCCCATCCGACTGGGAGGCTCCGAGCTGTGGCCGCGGTACGGAGGAGGAGGAGGGGGAGCGTCACGAGAGCCGTTACTACGGGAACCAGAGGAGGGAGGAGCTTGTGGGGCTGAAAGCAAACCAGAGTTAGTATTACGCCATATACTGTGAGAAAAAGTCCAACATTTCACGGCTTGAGACCGAACCAATCCATCGTTCACATCTGAACAGCTCACCCGTCCTGCGTCCCGGCGGCTCTCTGGCGGGTGGTGGTGGTCGTGGCGTCTGATTGGCTGGAGCGGGGGGAGGGGGCGGGGCGTGGCTGCGGCTCTGATGGCTGCTGCTGCTGGACGTGTGTTTCTTCTGCAGAGAGTTGTGTCTCTGTGGCAGCTCCGGAGCGTCTACGTGCGACGGCCCGTTCAGCCGGTACGGAGGGGGAGGGGGAGGAGCCGGGGTGCCCCCAGATTGAGGCCTGCACCAGAAAAAACGTACACTTACAACCAAGACACGTGTAATTCTCAAGTTACATAGAAAAAAAGTTTAGACGTTTATACGCTGATTTTGATCTATCTGCTGTCCTTTGTGTTGTGATCACTGAACTCTGGACTTTAGTCACGTATATGGATGAAACTGAGTGGCATTCAAGCATTTATGGACTTATTTTGACATTACATTTATAATCAATACAGATTGGTATAATGCTGGAACTCCATTCATTGTCCTGACATAAAAGCTAAGAGCTAAGCTAAGCAATGGCTTGTCAGGTTTACTAAAATCTTGGTATTTTGTCCCCAGAAAATGTGTGTTATTTGAATATCACAATCAGATTCAGGTTTGGGTTAAAGATAAGTTTGGGACAGGCACATTACATTCGGCATCTATTTGTGTGTGTTTATTTTCATTGAAAATATAGCTGCTGCAGCTAATAATCTGGTGCGCTCAAACACTTAAGAATTAAGGAACATGTCATAATTCCATAAAAGATGCTGGAGAGTGTAACCTGTCTTCTAAAGGACCAGACAAACACATAAGTCAAATTTCCAAAAACATTTCCTAAAAATTGAGTTAAAAAAACCGTCGTAACGTTCTGGTGGTAACTTACTGAAAACGATACATAACCTTACAGCGGTAATTATGATATACCTGTTTGAGGAGGGACGGTCCGAGCCTCGGCTGGGTGTGGGGGGGCGGGGCTTCTCTCGGCTGTGTGAATGAGAGTTCTTCTGATTGGCCGGTGGAGGGGGTGGTGGCGGGGCGTTTGATTGGCGGTTGAATGGCGGCGGCGGGGGCGGGGCAGACGAGCTGTGCTTCATGCCGCTGGAGGGGGGCCGGGTGATGTCGGGCAGCGAGGGTCTCTGCGATCGCTGAGGCTCCGGAGGCGAGGGGGAGGGGCTGCGGCCTCTGGGGGGACGTGGAGCCGAGGAGCGGGCACCGGGCGGGCGCAGAGCGGAGCGGCCCACGGAACCGGTCGGTCCATCTGAGGGGAACAAATATAATCAGCTTTTACCATAGATTCTGTATAGATGTGTAATTTCTGGAGTATAAGGCGCACATGTACATAAGCCGCACCACCTAAATTTGAAAATAAAATCAATATTGTCCACATATAAGCCCCACCTGAATATAAGCTGCAGGTTTTCAAGTCGTAATGTAGCAAAGAGACGACTGTTTTAACTAGACATAATTTAATGGCGAGTTGTTTAACAGTTTAACCGTTAGCTCCCATGACTCATTCACCTTCATCTGTTTTGACAATAAACAAGTTTCCTGGAGCTGCTAAAACTGGATGGAGTCAAAATAGTAAGTCCATAAACTCTGCTCTGACAACAGCACGACATATTAGCCACATCGAACTAGAAAAAAAGTAGCGGTTTATAGTCCAGAATTTACGGTATGTACATGGTTGAAGCCCAATCAGCGTCTGCTCCTTCCAACCCCTTTTTGAATCATTTCTGTTTTTGTAGAATGCTTTTTATTTTTGAAGGTTACAAAAAGTCCCATAGGAGGGTCGCTACACACACAAAAAAGTAATTATCTGCAGAATTTGTTTTCTTTTTCTTTGGCCATTTTGTAAACTTACGAGCAAACAATCTATGTTTTTGAAGCTGCATGAAACCAACACTGGGCAAAAGTAGAGATTAGTAGATCATCTCTCTGCTACCGAAATATAAATGTCTTCAGTTTGAGTCTTTCAGGTGGAAAAGGCCAAAACATCCGATGGAAAGAGGCAAATATAGAAACTGCAGCAAAGGCAAAACTACCCTGAATTATTTATTGTTTACTCTCTACGGCCAAGAATGAGACTGTGGGAAGAATGTAGCTTCGAGATTATACAACTCCCGGATACACTGTAGCCAACAACAAACCATGTATTCTGACTTATGGTCAAATTAGTTAAATAAACAAGTCTGCTGAGGATTTCCCATGACAACAGAGAAGCGTCATCTTCTGCTTTCAATTCATTTAGATTTATTTCTGTATTTTAGCCCTAAATCACTGTAGTATTTATCTCGGAGTACTTTACTAAACTGTCAATTTGCCAACACAGATGAGAGAATCAAACAGTTCAAACACGAGAAATGCAAGGAGAAAAACACATAGACCCATTGGAAGTTGTTTTTAGATCCTTCCACGCTAATATTAGGAACTTCTGGCACAAACATGTAGCTCCGCCCCCCTCTGTCTAAAAGCTCCGGTCTCAGTTCTGCAATAGTATGATGTCACTGTACCACTATGACATCACACTCAAAAATATTTCTCAAACTGGTTTTGTCAATTTCTCAGACTAAATGTCTTTACAATCACATGTCTGCGGTTTGCAGCCGGTTTTTCCCTTAATATTTGTTTTTAACCAAATATTTTCTACTTAAGATTCTACGCAATTTCATGTTTTTAGAATGTGCAATTACGCTCATTGTCATGTTTATCTGCCAAAAGAAATGCATAATGGTACTATTACCTCAATTACCTATGTCTTATGTTTAACAGTGGTTCGTAATCTTGTATGATCAGTGCTTGAAAACCGGTCTTCCATTTGCCTTCTCTCAGTCGTGTAAAATGTGCAATATAAATAAAGTTGATTGGATTGCGGGAATTTTGAGAGCACCATGTGATTGGACATTCGGAAGCCACAAAGACCCAGAGCGCTAAACATAGTCCTAGGTTAGTAATCGGCTAAATGTACCTGCTACTGAGCGCAGTTTGGGAATTCCTCCTTGGAACAGACCTCCCATCCCCATTGGACCTCCTCCTCCTCCACCTCCTCCACCTCCTCCACCTCCTCCACTGCTGCCGCCACCTCCACCTCCACCGGACTCTGGGACAAAACACATTTAGACATTCATAACTGTGACAACAAAACAGGCTTTCACAAATGCACTGCCAACACCATGTTATGCCCAGATCAAAGTCTATGTTGTATTCTTTAGCATTTCTGTGTTTAACTAGTTATTGACAAATGGCAGAGTCTGTTTGAACTCTAGATCACGGATTACTGCTCCTCCAAATGCTACAGGTATCGTATGCCATGATTGTGTGACATTAAAAAGACACAGTATCCAGGTTGTGAGGAGGTTCTTTCTGAGTTTTACTACAGCTCCAATATTTCACTGGGGTTGTGTGAAAAGATGGTTTATTAGTACAGGCAAATTACCCGACTTTAGTCCTCAAAAATCTTGCTTCTTGGAAATGTATGCAATTTCCATGAATTCAAGATATGTCCAACAAGACCACTACAGGCTGGGGACTATACTTTAGTTTTTACTTTACTTTTTGATCCTGAACATTTGAAATATACAATGGATGTCGACACAAATGTTTGGCATATTTTAGCGTTTTTGCGTTTCCGGAAAATCGAAAGTCACACCAACAACCGTTTGCCTCTTTACAGCCACCTGATGTCCTCAGGGGTCTCCCATCTCAGCACTAACCAGACCCTGCCCTGCTTAGCTTCTGAGTGATATATAAAAGGCATGCATAAATATCTCTATCTTAATGTATAAATACACACAACAGACATTTAACAGGAGCTTTTAGACAGAAGGGTCCAAGCTACATTTATTAGCATATTAGCATGGATGGATCTAAAAAAAACAATGACATTAATATTTTGGCACCACCTGCTTGTGAAAAAAAATCAATTCTTTCATCTGCAAACGCTCTTTTGCCTGGACTAAAAGGTAGTTCCAGTGATAATATTCAAGTCATGCCACCAACATTCTCTGTCAACAACACATCAGCAGCAGTGATCCCGAGTGCTTCGAGTATTGTTCAAGTATAAACTCACTCTCGATGATCGGAGCGCTGCGGTCGTTGATTTGTGCGACCTTCTTGAGTCTGGCTCCTTTGTGGATGTCACTGAGAAGAGCCCCGCGGCCCTTGGCCTCCGTTGAGCTGAGCTTTGGAGTGATGTTGGCCTGAGACACAGACACGTAAACTCATTTGGAATTAAAAACAACTTGGTGGTGATGATCCAGGACGCTCGACATGCAGCGACATTTATGAACCGTCTTCCTGAAGTTATGAGATGCATACAACACTAACGCACTAACTTCTCTCCGGAGACTTCTCTCTACTACTGTGTGTATTACAAGTCACGCTGCTTCTATTGACGGAAGTGAGCGAGAGAGAAGTCTCCGGAGAGAAGTTAGTGCGCGGACGTAGCGCTCCTCAGATTACTACGCCTCACAATATAGTACCCGTTTTATCCGCTGAGAAAATCGACTGTTACATTTCTGTGTTACTATACTTTGCAGTGTAACACGTCACGTAACTATATACATTTAATAGGGAACACTTGGAAGAGTTTGGTAGCTTCTAGCGGGAGCTACCTTTTGGTACTATACAGTATACAGAGGAGGCTGCGTTTGTGCTCCCGTTTTTGCTCCGTTTGCATGACAGAGCGCACGGACTAAGACCAGACAGGTACATATTAACTAGTCTAAGGTAAGGTAAGAACATATGTCAGTATGTAAAAACGGTGAACTATTCCTTTAACAATTAAACAATTAAGGTACCATCACTAGTACTAAAAGGCACGTATTTATGGCCTTAGATCAACTTTTTCAGACTAAAAAGCAGACCACCCTTTCTCAACCAATCAGCTCTCAGCCCAAAACATCAAATATAGACTCATGGGGCTCTGTCTTACTGAATACTAAAAGATAATTATGAGAGCAGATTGTGTAGTTTTGCTCAGATGTGTGTCGAGTGCACACTGACCGAGGGGGGAGGTGGGGGTCCGGGGGGAGGAGGGGGCGGGGGAGGAATGGGCATCTTGTCCCACGGACGACTCCTCGGGATGAGACGACGCTCCGGACTTCACGGTCTCCTCTCACACGCTCTCCTGCACAACACACAGAGAGAAAAAAGAGATCAAACAAGACGAAGGAATCAAACCGGTTCATTTTGTCTTGAGTTAAAATATTTTTTTGTGGTTCTTTTGAAAGACAAGTTAGATGTATCACCTTCTTTACATGTTTTGCCTGATGATATGTGTAAACAAAGTACTACATCTAACTTGTCTTTCAAAAGAACCACAAAAAACAAGAGGAAATAAGTCTGGTGTATCTTTCATTATAATGCATTTCAGACTTCAAAAAATGCATAATTCTGTAAAAACAAGAGCTGTAACCAACCAAACGTTATTCAACAACGTTTATGGACATTGGTCTCTGCCCCTTAATGGACCAATGGCATTTCTTGTGTTTGAACGGTTTGATTCTCTGATCTGTGTTGGCAAAGTCGACGGTTTTGTAAAGTCCTCTGAGAGATAACGACTGCTGTGATTTAGGGATATACAAGAATTCATTGAATTGAACTGAACTTTCAAAAATGCATGACACAATCTCACATATCTTCACACTGTCACTTTGATAACTGATTGATCTAGCACTTCCTTCTTTGATTGGTCATTTACGATACAAGTTTGATATTTTGTCCCAAGATGACACAGAAATCTGAGAGATTTAATTCTATTTTTTATAGTATAGTTATAAATGTATGTTCATTTATCTTGTGCTGTGTGCTCCTCATTCCTACTGTTCTATAACTGATGATGCAACACTGAAATTTCCCCACTGTGGGATGAATAAAGGTTCTCTCAGTGAGTGAAGCCATTGGTGTATATCCTAATTTAACCCAAACCAGAATATTTTATCATTAAAACAACATTTGCACGATTCCTGATTTATGTCTGTGCATAATTTATTAGCAGTTATCAAAATAGTTGACAATTATTATTATTTTTATTACTATTATTTTTTAGGTAAATATTATTGAACATTAGTCTTGCGCTAATTTGCATCTGCAGTCCCACAGTCGCATTCACAAACACACACTCATTCACCCTGATATTTTTGTAGTAGTAGCGGAAACCGGAGCACCTGGAGGACATCTACGTAGACACGGGGAGAACATGCAAACCCCACACAGACAGGTGCCTTAATGGAGGTGGAATCAAACCCAGGATTCAAGGGCAAGGGCTTGGTTGCTGGTTAAATATGTCATAAATCTTCTCGGTAATCACCCACAGAACACATCAGAGACAATAGAATAATAATAATAATAATGTAGGTCAGATTGATCTAAAGCTTGTTTATAGAGCCAGCTGTTTGCCTGCCGCGCTTCACTTACACCTCAAACAGGTTTAGAGGAAACACGAGGAATCCAACCGAACGGGACCAGCGGAAAACAGCAGGAAAAATGAGGCCAACAGAAAACAAGAATATTCAAAGATAAATTAAGCAAATTTAATACATCATGTTGATTTTTAATGCAAGAGGATAAAGTAGACAGAGTTCTGCAAGAGACTAGAGAAGTAAGGAAGGATTATTTCATGGATGGAATCTAGTCTCTGTGATATTAGTTCAGCAGAGACCCAAGTTGAGCATTCTATGTCGAAAAAATACATAGAATTATAGTTTGTTTGATGATATTGACCCAGAAGCAGACAATACTTGACGTTTTATTCGTACATACAGCAAAGCGATTACATAATGCTCTTAGATGTATGAGGCTTAATCGGCCCGTTATTCCAGAGAACTAGATTTGAGTCACTCACAATCATGAAGGAGGACAATCCAATAGGTTTGATGCCGAGGGTGGAAATAAGTGCGATGACAAAATACATTACGATATTATCCGTCCCCAAAGAAATCAATACGCAGCCAGGTTGGTATTATTCATCCACTCCGCTGCGGGACCTGGTGTTCCCAGAGGTCTCCCATTACAGCACTGATCAGGCCCACCCCTGCTTAGCTTCAGAGGTTTGACAGGGTCTGGCTTTTACATGCAGGTGGCGCTACAATCTGTGTGACTGTCTCCATCTTGTTTTTATCAGAACTTTGAGTTGCCTTGCTCATGCTTTGCTATACAAATAAGCTTGCCTTACCTTACAATGCTAATGCTAATCTTTCAAGGCTTGACATGTAATAAAGCTTGTACGTAGTCGAGAAAATGCACTTTTTTTTATTTTTACTGACTCCCAAATCCACTATAGTCCAAAAATAAGGTGGATTCCTCGTTTTTGTTTTTTTATTACATATTTGCATTTTTCCCCCTGATGGATCTGAGACTAGCCGCTTGTTGCCATACGATACGACCACTCAGCAACTTTCTGATGTTACAGAGACACGCACAGAATTCATTGATTTGGACTTCCTGTAATATCAGGAAAACATTTTTAAATCCAAATAAGAGCGATATGAGTGTTTAGTATTTTGATAACGATATTATGGCGATATTTTTGTCTGTCACCTAAAATTGCAATCTGCATTGAAAAGCAAGAGACAAATAACAAAAATAAGCACATTAGTGACATTCAAAGGCATATATTTATATACTTGGTCTTGTTGATAATAAAGGGAAAAAAATTTAAAAAATAAAAGTATTTAAAAATATTGCGCATCTTTTTGATATAGATATTGCATGTACCAAAATCGCGATAACGATATGTTTTTGATATATCGTGCAGCCCTCATTTGTATGATATTCTTCACCCGTTAAACCCCAGAGAAAGGCCCTGGTTATACACAACTCTGTGCACTTTAAACGACAACATTACAAACACTGAAAAACCAGAAAATCTCTCAGGTCTTTTTCCAAGTAATCCTCTTATTCGTTCATTCAACACGAGAGGTTGGATCAGGTCAGCAAAGTGCATCGCAAAAATACATTGATTACATCTGATATGAATGAGGAAGTTCCAGCTCAGCCTGGGACGACTGGATCCTAACGTCACAGATTCAGACCGAAGGCTAAACAAATGACGCTGTACATTTTACATAAAAATATAAAAAAATGGTCAGCAGCACTTGGTCTCACAGCATTTTAATGGGATAGAGCAGGGGTGGCCAACCCGCGGCTCGTGAGCCGCATGCGGCTCTTTGGCTGGTTCCGTGCGGCTCTCGGGCTTTCACTCGACAAGCGTCAAAAACGCCTCGGTGGTGGCGCTGCCTTTCATTCCATATGTAGTTCTGACCAATAGTAAAGGCCGACTTCACTCCACTAGCCAGGCCACCAAAACAATCTGACGTCGGCGAACGTCAATTCTGGTTGGTCAGATGCGCTGTCAATCACTCTGCAGCTGTAGCAAATATCATAACAAACAACACGTTGCCTCGAACCATGACGTCCGTACGGAAAACAATTCCTTGGTCGCTGGATGAGGGCAACACCTTCCTCAGTTTGAGGAGAGGACACCAGCCTGATCTCGCTGGTTCCACCAGAAACCAGAAGGTGTTTGTGGAGCTAGCACTAAGGACGGAGCAGAATGATTCCCACAAACATGACAATGCAGAGAAAAGTTAAAAAGCTTAAAAGTGACAACCGTGAAATGAAAGATCGCAGCAGCAGAAGTAGAGGCAGACCCGAAAAGTCTGGAGGTGGTTTGACCAAATGGATTACATTTACGGACATCGGCTAACACCGGCTAACATGCTAAAACCAGCTAACAACAACTAGCATTACACCAGGAGATAAGCCAACTCTGCCTGGTGAGTGTCTGTCTTCAATCAAATGCAAAAGTATCTGGTCTTATACTGAACATGTGTCTGTGGTTCTAAATCAGCTAAAGTGGTGTTGGTGTTATGTGTCAAATCTATATCTTTTACTAAAGACAGTTGTGTTTCTGCTGAACACTGGGTTGAAACTTGATTTTTTTTTCTTGGTTAGAGATTGAAAGCATTCATTTCGGAATCATAATTGATGTTCGCTGACGTGAAATTGTTCTGGTATCGACTCGCCCGGTTAGAACCAGGGCCAAACCATTAATAAAAAGTACCGGGGAGCGGTTGAAGCGAGCGGTGGAAGCGCCTGCAAACCGGGGAGAGTCGAGTCCAGCCCTTTAGTGCTGTACGAGTCAATTTCTGTCATTATCATGTTGATGACATTTACAATAAATCTGTCTGAGCAGAGCACACCTCTCTCTGCTCAGACAGATTGCATGTGTGTGCGCGTGTCTGCTCGTGTGCGTACAGTACGTGCGCGTGTGCGTGCGTGTGTAAGGGTTGGGGTGATGTTTATGTAGTGCACATTTGTATGATGTGGCTCTTTGCTGTAACACAGTAAAAAAAATTGGCTCTTAGTCTCTGACTGGTTGGCCACCCCTGGGATAGAGCTTAATAAAACGTGTGTGTGTGTCATCAAAGAGAAACTACTGAATCTGCTTGGTTTGTTGATGAGAGATTAGTGACTGAATTAAACAGTAGTATTCTGCAAATGTATTATGTGGACCTCACCAAAAGCCCAAAACACACCAATACTGAGAAATCCACTCATTTCAAAATTGACAAAGGTTTTATAACTTGCAATAAAAGTCTAATTTCTCCACTGTGGGACAAATACAGTGTCTATCATCTCTTATCTTGTAGCCAGGCTTTGAATGCAATCTGTGTGAACATGTATTACACCACGTATTACAATATTAAAGAAGAGAGAACCATGTTAGGTCCAAACGTCTCTCAATTACTGAAGTTAGTGAAAACGAAATCCAGAAATAAGTAATCCCAATGCCAGGAATGAACCATCACTGATATGTCTATTAAAAATGCATTACTTCTGATATCACACGTTTGTCACATAATCAATCGTCCTGCTCAAATTACATCTAAGTGCCGGCGGAGCATCACACTTTTGCCACACGGCCTCCTGCACTGCAAAAAGTGAGGAAAAATAAGTAAAGAATTAAATCAAAATATATCTTAATTTGAGTACATTGCCTTAAAACAAGATTTGCCGACGGGATAATGAGCAAAATCATCCTGTTTTTAAAAGAT